TGCACGCCCGCCTCCTGAGCCTGAGGATGACCGAGAACGAGCAGCCGCCAGCGAAGGCCCCTGCAGCCCCTGCACGAGCAGCGTGGCGCCACCCCCTGCCCCCCCCCCCAGGGCTCGCGAGGATCTGGGCAAGACTCGACAGCAAAGGCAGCGGGGGGGCCCACCATCGGTCAAGCCACGACTTCAGCGACCACCACCGCGGCGAGGAGCAGCGGAGGCAGACTCGGAGGTCGAGGACGCGGCCATGGCGGGCGAGGGCGAGGACGAGGGGATGCGCAGGAAGTCGAGACGCCGAGGAGGGCGTCGCACTCGCCGCGGCGAGCATCAGATCAAGGCGTGGAACAGCAAGGACAGAAATCGATTAGCACTCCTCCAGGCGACACTCAAGCTTGTTCCCCAGACGGCCCACAGGAACCGCTTGGCCTCTTCAGTCGCGATCGACACCTACACGGCGCCGTCCAAGCACGCGATGGCCAGCCACATCAGCGCCGAGCTGGGGGGGTACAAGGGCCTGCTCGACTCCCTGCGGACGCAGGGCGCGGAGGGCAAGGCGAGGATGAAGCAGATCCCCCCCCCCCCCCCCCCCCCCCCGCGGCCAGCCTGGCGCTGGCAGCCCTGGAGGGCCTCATGGAGTGCGACATAGGCGGCGGCATCAAGAACGAGATACGGACCTACCTGCACAAGTGCTCCCAGGAGGACGCGGAGGCGGAGCCCGACATCGACAAATCGGACCTGGAAGCCGCCGTCAGCTTCATTCGCCTGGAGAGCTGCTACGACACGCAGAAGATGAAGGTCATCGCGGGCGCCCCCAGCTGGGAGGGGCGCGCTCTCATCCAGAGGGCGCTGAAGGCAGAGGCAGTCGCCACTCACCACAAGGGGGTAGCCCCTGCAGGCTGGCTCGAGGACGAGGTGGGCCATTGGCTGGAGACGATCAGCGACAACCTCTAGAGCCCGCCAGATGTGTGAGTGGAGGTTTTTTTTTTTGCCAGCCTCGAGCGCTGTCCCAGAGACAGCGACCCCTGCACACGCCTCCCCCAACGAGCCAGGCTCGGAGTCAGGCCACATTTCGCCAGCGCAGATTCCCGACCCCGAGCCTTTCGATGATCATGAGGCCGAAGACCTCGTAGCAGCAGAATGTTACTCATAGCTTCGCCCATGCCGCCTGGCACTCGCTGTGATCAGCACCTTGGTGGCACCGCTCTGAGCAGCACTCGAGAGTCACCGCTCTCTGCGACGAGCCCCAAATTTCCTGCGAGGTGGTATGCACAATTATATCCTTTTCTGTTGGCTCTGACGTCGTTGGAAAAATCATCATCATCATCATCATCATCATCATCATCATCATCTTCATCTTCATCTTCATCCTCATCCCTCTCCATCATCCCTCATCCTCCTCCTCCTCATCCTCATCCGCCTCCTCCTCCGCCCTCCTCCTCCTCCTCCTCCTCATCCTCCTCCCCGTCCTCCTCCCCGTCCTCCTCCTCCTCCTCCTCCGCCTCCTCCTTCTCCCCCCTCCTCCTCCTCCGCCTCCTCCTCCTCCTCCTCCTCCGCCTCCTCCTCCTCATCCTCCTCCTCCTCCTTCTCCTCCTCCGCCGCCCTCCTCCTCCTCCTCCTCCCCCTCTCCCTCCTCCTCCTCCTCCTCCTCCTCCTCCTCCTCCTCCTCCTCCTCCTCCACCTCCTCCTCCTCGTCCTCCTCCTCCTGCTCCTCCTGCTCCTCCTGCTCCTCCTTCCTGCTTCATCCTTCTTCCTTTCTCATTCCTCCTTTCTCCTTCTTCCTTTCTCCTCTCCTCTCCTCCCTTCCCTCCTCCTCCTTCCTCACTCCTTCCTCCTCCTTCCCTCCTCCCTCCTCCGTCCTCCTTTCCCCTCCCTCCTCCCTCCTCCTCCTCCCTCCTCCTCCTCCTCCTCCTCCTCCTCCTCCTCCTCCTCCTCCTCTCCTCCTCCTCCTCCTCCTCCTCCTCCTCCTTTTCCTCCTCCTCATCCTCCTCCTCATTCTCCTCCTCCTCCCTCCTCCGCCTCCTCCTCCTCCTCCTCCTCCTCCTCCTCCTCCTCCTCCCCTCCTCCTCCTCCTGCTCCTCCTCCTCCCTCCTCCTCCTCCTCCTCCTCTTCCTCCTCAGCCACCTCCTCCTCCTCCTTCTTCTCCTCTCCTCCTCTCCTCCTCCTCCTCCGCCTCCTCCTCCTCCTCCTCCTCATCCTCCTCCTCCTCCTCATCCTCATCCTCTTCCTCCTCCCCCATTCCTTATCCTTATAAGTAACCTCTCAGCGTCGCACTCCGAGGCGAGTTGTTAGGGCGGTGCATGCGTTTCGCTTGAGACTTCGTCACCCGCTAGGACCGTGAATATCAACGTTCACAACAGTTTCACAGATGGTGGGCGGGTCGTTTTAAAAAATGTCGCTCCCGCTGTAGCGCCGCCCTCAATTGTCGTAACAAATTGTAAGAGCTTCACGGATTGAGGGCGACCGGTTTTCAATATGTGGTTCTCGCTTTAGCGCCGTGCACATTCGTTAGGAAACGTTGCAAGAGTTGCACGGGTCGAGGGCGGCTCATGTTCAAAATGTGGTTCTCGCTTTAGCGCCGCGTACATTCGTTGTTTAACTTGCAACAGCTTCACGGAATCCCATGATCAGCGTACCAGAAATTGCGTGTTGGAAGAATTCCAGATTTTGAGGTGCAACAGCTACGTTGAGTCACGGTGTTGACGTCCCAGGAATGGCGTTTTGCGCAACAGCCAGGTTGATCCGTGGCGTTGAAATCCCGAGAACCATGTTTTGGCATGCGTCAAGGTCTTCAAAACGGTTGTCTTCCAACGAGGCAGCTCCCACAGTGGAATTGAGCCGTTGTAGGGGCTTGTTGCAAGGGAGCTTGGAGGTAGGGTGTATTCCAACATCGTTGATGACGCTTGGGTTTACACTGGTCCTCTTTCTCCTCCTCATCCCTCCTCCTCCTCCTCTTCCTCCTCATCCTCCTCATCCTCATCCTTCTCCTCCTCCTCCTCATCCTCCCTCCTCCCTCCTCCTCCCCCTCCTCCTCCTCCTCCTCCTCCTCCTCCTCCTCCTCCTCCTCCCTCCTCCTCCTCCTCCTC